GCGCTGCTGCTGCTGCTGCTGCTGCTGGCGCTGACCACCCCCAGTGCTGCTCCGCTGGGACGAGCCACTCCGACCACCTCCACCACCGCCACCCCCGCCTCCGCCGCCACCGCCGCCACCGCCACCCTCGCCCCCGCCGCTCCCACCGCCACCTGCACCGCCACCTCCGCCGCCACCTCCGCCTCCCTTGCCGCCACTAGTACCTCCACCCCCGCCACCACCTCCACCGCCACCCCCACTCCCCCCGCCTCCCCCACCTCCTCCGCTACCGCCCCCGCTAGCTCCACCCGCTCCCTTGCCCCCCTTGCCCCTGCCAGAGCGGCGCCTACCGCTGGGGGCAGACGCCGCACCGACCGACTCTAGACCAATGAGGTCGGCCGCAGCAGCAGAGTCGACAGAGGGTAACACGGGGGAAGTAGAACACCCCTCAAAGATGGGGGTGCGGGGGTCACCACAAGAGGCCCCTACAGGGACTATGCTCTTCTCGGCCGCTAGCAGGGACTTCTCGAGGAGGTCGACAGTGAGGGTGGTGGGACAAACAAAGAGAAACTGGTCCCTAACAGCACGAAGGGACTCAGGGAGACGGGTGACTAGAAAGTAGAGGGTGATGTACATAGGAGGGGGGTTTTCGGCGCAGAAGGCAGCAGGAAGCGCAGCTCGGTAGCGAGTGTCACTAGCGCGAAGGTGGGTAAAGAGGTCAGCGACTGTAGGAAAGGCAGCAAGGTCAGGGAAGAGGTACGGTAGCATGAGGCAGCTCAGCGTAGCAGAGGAAGGGGAGGAGTAGCGCGCAACTACAGCGTCGTACAAGGCCTGAGCGGTCTTGCACTGACTAAAGTGTGCGCGCTCGGAGGAAGGGAGGTGGCGACGCACAGCAAGACGTGCAGCAGCATTGCGTGAGGCCCACTTGGAGCGCACAGTGGGGTCAGCATCAGCAGGAGGGGCAGGTACAGCGCCAGAGACAAAGTCAAAGAGAGAAACTTCATCTACCGTATCGCAAAGCAAGTACAGCTGCAGGTCGTCGACCCAGACCGCAAAGTCAATGGCGCGACCCTCAGCGTCAAAAGCCAGGACACTGGGGGTGGCCATGATAGCAGCTGAAAGTCTCACCGGACAGGAAGGGTCGGGTCGCTCAGCAGCACAGCAACACAGTAGCACACCAACTCCGCCGGCCCAGGAGCAGTAGCAGCTCCACAGGAGCAGGAGCTCGGCACCTCAGACGGCTCGGGCGGCTCGGGCGGCTCGGGCTGCTAGGGCGGCTCGGGAACGCAGCAGCACGGGCGGCTCGGGCGGCTCTGCTGCTCGTGCGGCTCGTGCGGCTCGGGTGACGCTGGGGCTCACGGGCGGCGCGGGCGTCGTGGCGGGCGGCTCACGGGCGGCTCGCGGGCGGCTCACGGGCGGCTGCACGGGCGGCTGCACGGGCGGCTGGGGCGGCTCACGGCCGGCTCGTGGGGTTGCTGCACAGACGGCTGCACGGGCCGCTGCACGGGCGGTTGCACGGGCGGTGCACGGGCGGCTCACGGGCGGCTGCACGGGTGGCGCGTCGGGCGGCAGCACGGGCGGTTGCACGGGCGGCTGCACGGGCGGTTCACGAGCGGCTGCACAGACAGCTGTACGGGCGGCTGCACGGGCGGCGCGGTCGGGCTGCTGAGGGCGACGCACGGGCAGCCCACGGGCGGCTAGCGGGCGTCGGGCGGCTAGCGGGCGTCGGGCGGCTAGCGGGCGTCGGGCGGCTGGCGCGTCGGGCGGCTAGCGCACGGGCGGCTTTAGGTGGCGCACGGGCGGCTCTGGGCAGCGCGCGGGCGCTAGGGCGCTAGGGCGGGCAGCGGGTCGTGAGAGCGCTAGGGCGCGAGGGCGGGCAGCGCGCGGGCGCTAGGGCGCTAGGGCGCGAGGGCGGGCAGCGGGGCGCGGGCGCTAAGGCGGCGCTCGGGCTGCTAGGGCGGGCGGCGCGCTAAGGCGGCGCTCGGGCCGTAGGGCAGATCGAAAAAAAAAAGTAAGAGCAAGGGCCCGGAGCGCGCTCCGGGCAAAAAAAAAACGTTCGATGTGGTGGGCCCTAAGCACAGTTTCCACTGGGGAACCTGCTCGATACCATGATAAAGTTAGAACGAGAATGAAATGACTATGATCGAAGTGAGTACAAATAGGAAACCCTAGTTTGGTTGTACCCCCTATGGGATACCCCACTATAGCCTACACAAATAAGTAAGCTATAATATTCTGACACAGGTCTAATAGCCTACGCACTGCCGGGCCCTGCAAGCGCCCGGTGGGCAAGGACGTCCTCTCCAAGGTCGCCATCATCGATGAGGAACTTGTTGGGGAAGACAAACGCACCCTGAGCCGGATCGTGTGGGATCCTCCACTCCACGACAGCAAAGTGTATCATCTGTTTGACCTTTTCGCACCACTCGAAGTAGTCCAGCCTGTTTTGCTCCGGCTGGGCCGGAATTCGCTTGCGACGCTTATCTTGCAGAAAAGACCACTCGATCTGCAATGTGGTGTAGGGTTGGGTGGATGGTGTATGAAGGGGGTTTATGTGTATATGAGCCAACCGAAAGTGGTGATTTCAGGCGTCACTATCTACGGAACTGCAAACGCTTAAGCAACCAGGGATTTAGATGAAGTACAGGCAAGGGGTTTAGGGGATGAGGCATGGGTGTACAAACACATATCTACATCCTTACCAAAAACAGGCCCCATGCCACCATGCAGCTCTTGAACTTGGTGAACACGACCCCGCCCCTTTTGAAGGAGAGCTTGAACGCATAAGCGAACAAGGGGCTGCTGCAGGCCATCCCGGTGGCCTTGTCAAAGTGCTAGTTGAGGGCCCACTGTTCTGCATTTTGGCAGGGAGGGTAGGGGTTGGAAAGGGGTTGCATAGAAATCATGTGGTGGGGTGAGAGTCAGGGTTAGGAACACCGCACGGCGATTTGTAGTTGCCAACTGGCGTATGGTGTGGCATAGGGTGTACTCGTCCAGGAGTTGCTCGTCATTGAACCTCTTCTTTGGGTGTAGCTCAGTGGGCAGGCTATCCACGAGATGGACGTAATCGAAGAGGCCCATGCCGGTGTATGCTGCTGGTCTGAGGGTGGAGTTGATTGTTGACCTTGTTGACGACATTTGGTGGTTGAAGACACCCATGGTTGACTTGTCATTGTGCAACCACAGCAGCTTCATTGACTCGAGCCCTTCTGCAGACAAGTGGACAGGGAACGCTTTGAACACTTCCTCCGGTGCAGGGTAATACTGGATTTTTTCCGGGGGGTTCAGAAACATGAGCTGAGAGCACAGTAAGTTGGCTTTGTTCTGCGCAGGGGTGTAGGGTATACAACACGACATGGGAGAGAGAAACCAATCAGTTATGACTGTGGCCGCGTGACCACAGGATGGACTGTGTGAACTTGCCGCGTCACACCCTCCTGCATCCGCCACCTCCACCAGCAACCAGCCCCACTTGCCACGTCACACCCAGCCACCCCATGCCACGTCACCCCCCACCCACCTGACACGTGTCGCCTCGTCACGCGCCACTCCCGTGTACCCTTCAAAACCGCCACGTCAGCCCCTCCTGCACATCCTACCACGTCACACCCTCCTGCATCCGCCACGTCCACCAGCAACCAGCCCCACTTGCCACGTCACACCCACCCACCCCATGCCACGTCACCCCCCACCCACCTGACACGCGTTGCCTCGTCACGCGCCGCTCCTGTGTACCCTTCCAAGCCGCCATGTCAGCCCCAACCCTCACATTCCGCCACGTCACACCCTCCTGCATCCGCCACGTCCACCAGCAACCTGCCCCACTTGCCATGTCACACCCACCCACCCCATGCCACGTCACCCCCCACCCACCTGACACGCATTGCCTCGTCACGTGCCGCTCCCGTGTACCCTTCCAAGCCGCCACGTCAGCCCCAAACCTCACATCCCGCTACGTCACACCCTCCTGCATCTGCCAACAACCCGCCCTACTTGCCACGTCACACCCCCCACCAAGAGCCACATCACCCCCCACCCACCTGAAACACCTCGCCCCATCATGCGCCACTCCCTTGCACCCTTTCAAAACGCCACGTCATATCTCAACCCTCACCTTTTGCCCCGTCACACCCACTTGCATCCGCCACGTCCACCAACAACCCGCCCCACTTGCCGCGTCACACACCCCCCCCCCCCCCCCCCCCCCCCCCCCCCCCCCCCCCCCCCCCCCAAGAGCCACGCCACCCCCCATCCACCTGTGGAGCCTCGTGTTGTTATGCGCCGCTCCCGCACACCCTTTCAAACCGCCATGGCATCCCAACCCTGCCTTGGCTGCTACGTCAACCCCAATCCGCCCCATTTGGCCCCCCACGTACCGGGAATGGGTTTGTCTCATGCAGCACAAGCACTCGTGCCTTGTCCACGGCACTCATCAATGGCGAGGTTCCAGCCATAGGCACCACTGCGAACCCCCCGGCATAACTGGCAGGTGCTCCACAAAGCAGGCCAAGCTGAGCAACATGCCATACATCTCAGACCGTAGCGCCTGGAACTCCTCCCATGTATTAAATCGCCCGTGCTCTGCACTTTCGCCCAGCGCATCCATGACATCCAGAAAAGGGTGTGAAGAAACCCCCCTCTGGCTAAGGGGATCAACGTCTTCTGCAGCAGTCCCGTGTGCCCTCACACTATTACGCTGGCGGGAAATGGGCAGCTCAGGGAGGGGATTGGCATAAGTGCTTGGCTGATGCGCGTGCGAAGGACCGGCAAGGGGGGAGACCGCCCTGCCCCAGACAGGAGAATCGTGGAGCTGCCGATATGGGAATGAGGGTGAGGTGAGTGGGGAGTGCGTGACGTGGCCTGGTGGAGGGGATTCGGATTTTTTTTTCTTGGTATGCCGGGTGCCGTCGCAGCGACTTTGCTCGGGCTGGAGTATGGCATGTAGAACCGTGGGGCTCCTGTGGATAGCGGTGTAACACTCGCTCTTCTGGCCCCCTTTGTTAGCTGCATCCGTTGCACGATTATCGGCGGCCCAATGCCTGTAACATGAGGGGCTGAGAGTTATAGGGAGCATGAGCACGGAGTTGGAGTCTATAACGTTCAATACAGGGGCACACATGCAAGCAAACGAGCAACCGCTTTATTCTAACATGGGTGTAGTAGGGAACTGTTGTGTAAAATCACGCCTTATTCGGCTTTGCAGATTCGTCGACCTTCTCCTTCCCTGCAGGGGGGAAACAAAGGTGGAACACGGTGTTAATAGGCTCGGTTCATCACAAAGTACGGCAACCATGCCATGTGTTTGTGACATGTTGCTTACCTCGTTGCTGTCCCTTCGGTTTTGCTGCCTGCGCCTTCTTGTTGCCACCTTTTCGCAGTGTGCTTTGGCGGCCGTTGAGTCATTTACGGGTAGGTTCTTTCTTTGCTGAACCCACAGGAACCCCTTTCGCGCGCCCTCCCTTTCCTTCTCCATCCCCTTTTGCTCCCTGTCTCCCTTGCTTTTTACCACCCCCTTCAGTTTCGACCTTCACTTTACGCGCCTTCAATTTGCCCGCTGATTCGCCACGCGTTGCGTCAACCGCCCCACGTTTTTGGGATTGACCAGACTGCCCCCCCACCTTCCCCGTACCACTCCCCAGTTTGCCTCGCGCGCCCCGTCCTTTAACTGCCGGCACATCCTCCTCCTCTTCCTCTTCCGCCCCTTCCTCCTCCTCCTCCTCCTCCTCCTCCTCCTCCTCCTCCTCCTCCTCCTCCTCCTCCTCCTCCTCATCATCATCATCATCATCATCATCCTCCTCCTCCTCCTCCTCCTCATGATTGTCCTCCTCATCCTCCTCATCCTCCTCCTCCTCGTCGTCCTCCTCCTCGTCCTCATCCTCCTCCTTATCCTCCTCCTCCTCCTCCTCGTCAACCCCCTCCTCGTCCTCCTCCTCCTCATCATCGTCGTCCTCCTCCTCATCATCATCCTTTTCCTCCTCCCCTGCATCCGCGTCCTCCTCCTCCGCATCCTCCTCAACCTCCTCTTCCTCGTCACCCTCCTCATCATCAGCCTCCTCCTCATCCCCCTCATCCTCCTCATTCGCTTCACCAAGGCCTTCTTCGCCGCACTTTGGCCTCTTCCCCCTTGATGCTTGCTTGCCCCTCCGTCCGCTAGATGGTTTCCTCGATCTAGGTCGGCCCTGTCCCGATCTAATCGATATTCTATCGACAAAAACCTCAAGTACAATAACAACTGGATTAGTAGCTACTAAGCCCATAGCTACAGCCCTTTGCTTAGTCACTACGCTGACTCACGGGCAATCTGGAAACGCCAGTGTTAAACAGCGAGCGGTGTCAAAGTAGTGGGTATGAGGGTGACAGAAGCTGGTCGGTGGGGCACGAGGGTGGTTGGGGTGGCATGCGAGTCTAGAGAGAGGACTGTAAGCCGACCAGGCACAATCGGACGGTCTATGTTTAGCCACCCAATCATAAACCCACTAACCGCTTGATCACAGTCGCTACTTCCGCGGCGGATGTCCAGCTTGGTTGGTGCGTTAGTGGGGAGAGGGGTCATTTGAGATGTGTCGGCCAATCAGCGCAAACACATAAATCACTGCAAAATCTAGAACAGTTTCTAGACCACCAATCATTAAATCCAGCAAAGTACAGTGCTAATGTGCATTGAGGAAAGTTGCACCTAGGAGCAAAATACACATACAAAGTACAACAAAGACAATTTTCACAAAAATGTTGCTTATGTTATCATAGGGCGCATTCCTAGCTTCGGGCTCGATTCTGTGCCGGTGGAATGCAGATGTGGTGTGGTATTGGATTGGGCTCAATTCTTGCATGGATCGATGACAAGGTGCATGGAGGAAGTGGTATGAAGCACAGGTCCAACGCAAAAGCGGTGATGCGTTATCCACATCGCTGTTCCGACGGGGCGACGTTGCAGCGTGCAGGCCCATGGCTTGCGCGACATGGTGAAACCGTTGTGGAATGGTGTTGGATTGGGCTGATTCTTGCATGGATCAGTGACAAGGTGCATGGAGGGAGTGGTATGAAGCACAGGTCCAACGCACAAGCGGTGATGCGTTATCGACATCGCTGTTCCGACGGGGCAACGTTGCAGCGTGCAGGCCCATGGCTTGCGCGACATGGTGAAACCGTTGTGGAATGGTGTTGGATTGGGCTCAGTTCTTGCATGGATCGGTGACAAGATGCATGGAGGGAGTGGTATGAAGCACAGGTCCAACGCACAAGCGGTGATGCATTATCGACATCGCTGTTCCGACGGGGCGACGTTGCAGCGTGCAGGCCCATGGCTTGCGCGACATGGTGAAACCGTTGTGGAATGGTGTTGGATTGGGCTCAATTCTTGCATGGATCGGTGAAAAGGTGCATGGAGGGAGTGGTATGAAGCACAGGTCCAACGCACAAGCGATGATGCGTTATCGACATCGCTGTTCCGACGGGGCGACGTTGCAGCGTGCAGGCCCATGGCTTGCGCGACATGGTGAAACCGTTGTGGAATGGTGTTGGATTGGGCTCAATTCTTGCATGGATCGATGACAAGGTGCATGGAGGCAGTTGTATGAAGCACAGGTCCAACGCACAAGCGGTGATGCGTTATCGACATCGCTATTCCGACGGGGCGACGTTGCAGCGTGCAGGCCCATGGCTTGCGCGACATGGTAAAACCGTTGTGGAATGGTGTTGGATTGGGCTCAATTCTTGCATGGATCGGTGAAAAGGTGCATGGAGGGAGTGGTATGAAGCACAGGTCCAACGCACAAGCGGTGATGCGTTATCGACATCGCTGTTCCGACGGGGCGACGTTGCAGCGTGCAGGCCCATGGCTTGCGCGACATGGTGAAACCGTTGTGGAATGGTGTTGGATTGGGCTCAATTCTTGCATGGATCGATGACAAGGTGCATGGAGGGAGTTGTATGAAGCACAGGTCCAACGCACAAGCGGTGATGCGTTATCGACATCGTTGTTCCGACGGGGCGACGTTGCAGCGTGCAGGCCCATGGCTTGCGCGACATGGTGAAACCGTTGTGAAATGGTGTTGGATTGGGCTCAATTCTTGCATGGATCGGTGACAAGATGCATGGAGGGAGTGGTATGAAGCACAGGTCCAACGCACAAGCGGTGATGCATTATCGACATCGCTGTTCCGACGGGGCGACGTTGCAGCGTGCAGGCCCATGGCTTGCGCGACATGGTGAAACCGTTGTGGAATGGTGTTGGATTGGGCTCAATTCTTGCATGGATCGGTGAAATGGTGCATGGAGGGAGTGGTATGAAGCACAGGTCCAACGCACAAGCGGTGATGCGTTATCGACATCGCTGTTCCGACGGGGCAACGTTGCAGCGTGCAGGCCCATGGCTTGCGCGACATGGTGAAACCGTTGTGGAATGGTGTTGGATTGGGCTCAATTCTTGCATGGATCGATGACAAGGTGCATGGAGGGAGTGGTATGAAGCACAGGTCCAACGCACAAGCGGTGATGCGTTATCGACATCGCTGTTCCGACGGGGCGACGTTGCAGTGTGCAGGCCCATGGCTTGCGCGACATGGTGAAACCGTTGTGGAATGGTGTTGGATTGGGCTCAATTCTTGCATGGATCGGTGACAAGATGCATGGAGGGAGTGGTATGAAGCACAGGTCCAACGCACAAGCGGTGATGCATTATCGACATCGCTGTTCCGACGGGGCGACGTTGCAGCGTGCAGGCCCATGGCTTGCGCGACATGGTGAAACCGTTGTGGAATGGTGTTGGATTGGGCTCAATTCTTGCATGGATCGGTGAAAAGGTGCATGGAGGGAGTGGTATGAAGCACAGGTCCAACGCACAAGCGGTGATGCATTATCGACATCGCTGTTCCGACGGGGCGACGTTGCAGCGTGCAGGCCCATGGCTTGCGCGACATGGTGAAACCGTTGTGGAATGGTGTTGGATTGGGCTCAATTCTTGCATGGATCGATGACAAGGTGCATGGAGGGAGTTGTATGAAGCACAGGTCCAACGCACAAGCGGTGATGCGTTATCGACATCGTTGTTCCGACGGGGCGACGTTGCAGCGTGCAGGCCCATGGCTTGCGCGACATGGTGAAACCGTTGTGAAATGGTGTTGGATTGGGCTCAATTCTTGCATGGATCGGTGACAAGATGCATGGAGGGAGTGGTATGAAGCACAGGTCCAACGCACAAGCGGTGATGCATTATCGACATCGCTGTTCCGACGGGGCGACGTTGCAGCGTGCAGGCCCATGGCTTGCGCGACATGGTGAAACCGTTGTGGAATGGTGTTGGATTGGGCTCAATTCTTGCATGGATCGGTGAAATGGTGCATGGAGGGAGTGGTATGAAGCACAGGTCCAACGCACAAGCGGTGATGCGTTATCGACATCGCTGTTCCGACGGGGCAACGTTGCAGCGTGCAGGCCCATGGCTTGCGCGACATGGTGAAACCGTTGTGGAATGGTGTTGGATTGGGCTCAATTCTTGCATGGATCGATGACAAGGTGCATGGAGGGAGTGGTATGAAGCACAGGTCCAACGCACAAGCGGTGATGCGTTATCGACATCGCTGTTCCGACGGGGCGACGTTGCAGTGTGCAGGCCCATGGCTTGCGCGACATGGTGAAACCGTTGTGGAATGGTGTTGGATTGGGCTCAATTCTTGCATGGATCGGTGACAAGATACATGGAGGGAGTGGTATGAAGCACAGGTCCAACGCACAAGCGGTGATGCATTATCGACATCGCTGTTCCGACGGGGCGACGTTGCAGCGTGCAGGCCCATGGCTTGCGCGACATGGTGAAACCGTTGTGGAATGGTGTTGGATTGGGCTCAATTCTTGCATGGATCGGTGAAAAGGTGCATGGAGGGAGTGGTATGAAGCACAGGTCCAACGCACAAGCGGTGATGCATTATCGACATCGCTGTTCCGACGGGGCGACGTTGCAGCGTGCAGGCCCATGGCTTGCGCGACATGGTGAAACCGTTGTGGAATGGTGTTGGATTGGGCTCAATTCTTGCATGGATCGATAACAAGGTGCATGGAGGGAGTTGTATGAAGCACAGGTCCAACGCACAAGCGGTGATGCGTTATCGACATCGCTGTTCCGACGGGGCGACGTTGCAGCGTGCAGGCCCGTGGCTTGCGCGACATGGTGAAACCGTTGTGGAATGGTGTTGGATTGGGCTCAATTCTTGCATGGATTGGTGACAAGATGCATGGAGGGAGTTGTATGAAGCACAGGTCCAACGCAGAAGTGGTGATGCGTTATCGACATCGCCGTTCCGACGGGGCGACGTTGCAGCGTGCAGGCCCATGGCTTGCGCGACATGGTGAAACCGTTGTGGAATGGTGTTGGATTGGGCTCAATTCTTGCGTGGACCTTCGACAATGTGCATAGAGGGAGTGGTTTGAAGCTGCGGTCTAACGCACAAGCGGTGATGCGATCGACTACGCTGTCTCGACGGGGCAACGTTGCAGCGTGCATGCCCATGTCTTGCACGACATGGTAAAACCGTTATGGAATGGTGTTGGATTGGGCTCAATTATTGTGTGGACCTTTGACAAGGTGCATAGAGGGAGTGATATGAAGCCGTGGTCTAACGCACAAGGGGTGATGCGTTATCGACTACGCTGTCTCGACGGGGCGACGTTGCAGCGTGCATGCCCATATCTTGCGCGACATGGTGAGACCGTTGTGGAATGGTGTTGGATTGGGCTCAATTCTTGCGTGGACCTTTGACAAGGTGCATAGAGGGAGTGGTATGAAGCCGCGGTCTAACGCACATGCGGTGATGCGTTATCGGCTACGCTGTCTCGACGGGGCGACATTGCAGCGTGCATGCTCATGTCTTGCGCGACATGGTGAAACCGTTGTGTAATGGTGTTGCTTCCCGTATGGTATCAGACCACACTAATGGTGTTGTTTTTAAACATTGCCATTGTGAGTATGGGGTTGGTTATGAGCAGGCCGTTAAGTATGGTCGTATAATCTTTATGAGTGACATTACTGTATTTGTTAAATGTAACTGTACATGGTCATTATCTGGTTTGGATTAAGGCTATGGAGGTGCGCACCACTTTGGGCACACCGGCGTGATCGCGTTTTCCCCCCTATAGCGACTCTCGAAAGAATCACAGCACCAAACAGATCTCTTCAATCTTTTCCTCTCCCACATCGACTCTTATACACGATTCAAACATTAAAGTTTTGAATCAAGAGGCACGTACTTCTCACCATGCTCGT